TAATATTTTAGTTCTCGGCGGGCACACATCTTTGTTTGTATGTGGTGCTGAGGATCGAACCCGGGCCACACGCATGCCAGGCGAGAGCGCTACCGCTTGAGCCACATCCCCAGCCCTTTTCTTTTTTTAAAAAATTTTTTTATTAGTTGTTCAAACTATTACAAAGCTCTTGACATATCATTTCATACATTTGATTCAAGTGGGTTATGAACTCCCATTTTTACCCCGTATACAGATTTGCAGAATCACATCGGTTACAGATCCATGTTTTTACATAACTGCCATACTAGTGTCTGTTGTATTCTGCTGGGATAGGAAGGGCAGCAGAATAGATTTTTTTTCTTTCATTATTAATATTTTAGCTTTACTCTCAGTTGACAAGTATTCAGGAAATGAGACTCCCACTCCCACCAGTGATACTGGATTGAACCCAGGGTATTCTAACACCAAGCTGCATGCTACATTTTCAGACCTTTTTATTTTTTATTGAGACAAGGTCTTGCTAAGTTGCTGAGGCTGGCTTCCAACTTAGAATCCTCCTGCCTCAATCTCTTGAGTTGTTAAGGTAACAACTATGCACCACCATGMACTGTTTTGGGGGATTTGGGTATTTGGTTATTGTTTTTTGTGGTTCTGGTGATTGAATCCAGGTCTTGCAAGGCAAGCATTCTACCAATTGAGCTATATCCCCAGCCCTGTGGGGTTTGTGTGTGTGTGTGTGCGCGCGTGCGCGCGCGCCTAGGGATTGAACCTATGGCCTTGGTTATTTTTTATTGTGGTACTGGCAGTTGCACCCAGAGGCCCTTGAACATTGAGTTACAACTTATGTACTTATTGTGATCCTCCTGCCTCAGTTTTCCTAGTCCCTGAGATTACAAATAAAATTTTACCCTTTTTAAAATTTTTCCTATCTCTTCTTGCTGTCCTGGGGGGGGTGGTTGAAGCTAGGGTCTGGTGAGTAATAAGCATGTGCTCTACCACTAAACTACATCCCCATCCCTTTTATATATATATATATATATATATATATATATATATATATATATATTTTAGATGTTTTATTAATTTATTTATATACGATGCTCTGAATTGAACCCAGTGCCTCATAATATGCTAGGCAAGCTACCACTGACACATCCCCAGCTCCTTAACGTTTTTTTGGGACAGAGTCTTGGCTAAATTTTCTAGGCTGCTCTCAAATTTATCATCCCTCTTCCCTCAGCCTGCAGAGCAGCTGGGATTACAGATCTGCGTCACCACGCCCAGCTGTTGTTTTGTTTTAAAACATATTTTCTTCTGCTGGGGATTAACCCTTCGGCCTGAAGCATGCTAAGCTTGTGCTCTCCACTCTGCTACATCACTAACAGGAAATTCAGTGTTTTTAATATTGGCTTTTAACTTTGAATGTGTTAGCTGCTGTTTTGAACTTGGTTATGAATTTTTTTTTTTAAACCTGCCATTTCTTAGCCATATGTAATTGTTGACTACTTTCTTCATTATATAAATCTAAACTTTTAGACTTTTAGAATCTAAAGTGTCTTCTTAGTTGATGCAGGACCTTTTAAAAGTTTGTGTTCCCCATTATTTTGGATACTCAAGCCCAKATTTGCATGAATCCATATGAGCACTTTTGACCTCTCTGTGGGCCATTTAACAAGGAAAATTTATAGCCTCAGCTATAAAGCCATGTTCTTAGAAACTACCAGCAAAAGCTCCTGTTTCTTTTTTGTAAACTTCAAACATTACAAATTAGATTTGGCCATGCCAGGCATGTTGGTGTACACCTGTAATCTTACAATTTGGGAGGCTGAGGCAGGAGAATTACAAGTTCAAAGGGCTGGGGATATAGCTCAGTGGTAAGGCCCCTCTGGGTTCGGTCCCTAATCCCCCCAGTCCTTTTTCCCTCAAAATTTTGGTGAGCCATTTGGCTCCTTTGCTTTTGACCAGTTTGGAATCAGCCTTTTGCATTTCTCTTTGTAGGGATCGTCCATTATATCTTCATGTTCAGGGCCAGACACGGGAATTAGTGGACAGTAAGTAATGTTTTTGGCTCACATATTATTTCTTGGGAAGCGCAAAGTTTTCGGCTGTGTATCTCAAATCTGCAAACTGTTCCTGATGGCTCTTCTAAAGTCTTTACCAGCTACACACCAGCATGTATGGGGAGCCACATATTTTGGCTAACCTAAAAAGTGGGTTAGTGCTTTGAATAATTGAACATTTCTTCTGTCTTTGTCATTGGGCATCAGTCAGTTCATTCAGTTCTTTAGTATACTATCTGACTTTATTTTTCCCTAGGAGCTGTAAACCGAATCAAGGAAATTATCACCAATGGGGTGGTAAAGGCTGCCACAGGGACAAGTCCAACTTTTAATGGTGCAACAGTCACTGTCTATCACCAACCAGCACCCATTACTCAGCTGTCTCCAGCTGTTAGCCAGAAGCCTCCCTTCCAGTCAGGGGTATGTTTTGGCGAGGGATTGTTGTTTCTATAAAAATGGTATGTGCTATATACCACATAATACGTGTGAAGGAAAACCCCTAAAATTCTGACCTGAGAGTTAATCTGCTACTGGTATCCTATTAGTGTGCTACTAATACGTTCTCACTATATCTTTATTCTGATATAATGTAGGAAGGGGATTGAGAAGAGCAAAGGGTATGAACATAGTACAACGTGAAAATAGTTTTAATTTTGTATTTGTAAACTTCATGGCAACTGGAGGACCAAGAAGGCTGAGTCTGATGAAGCAAGACTTTGCTGATACACTCCTCCTAGAAAAAAGGGTTGGAGAGAGCAGCCCTCATTGGAGAAAGTTTTGGGGCTGACTGTACGACCCAACATTCTACTCCAGTTTTACAGCCCACTCTGTGCTGTGATTTTTGATTGACTTGAATCAGTGGAAGGGAAGTGAATGTGTTTATTCGAATTTGGATCCTGGATTTTTGCTTTGCAAATATCTCTTGTTGAATAGAATAAGGTGTTTATTTTGTGGGTAAGGTAGATGCATGAATATGAAGGGGTTTTCTGTTTTTTGTTGTATGTTTTTTTGTGGTGCTGGGGATCGAACCCAGGGCCTAGAACATGCTAGGCATGTTACACTCGCAGCATCTGAAGTTTTTATTTAAATTAAGCTTTTTGATAGAATTTGTATTAGAAATTGTAGAGTATTCTTGGTAGAAGTGATCAAATGTGTTTTGGGGATTAAAATATTTTGTGTAACAGTTTTCTACAGTATTAGGATTTTTGTATGTATTTGTGTGGGGAAGTAGTGGGGTTTGAACCCAAGGCCTCACATGCTAGGCAAACACTCTTAACACTGAGCTATATCCCCACCCCTAGGATTAGGATTTAATTATGTATTTTCTGCTTAATCTGATGTATTTTGTTCTTCCTACAGATGCATTATGTTCAAGATAARTTATTTGTGGGTCTAGAACATGCTGTGCCCACTTTTAATGTGAAGGAGAAAGTGGAAGGTCCAGGCTGCTCCTATTTGCAACACATTCAGATTGAAACAGGTGCCAAAGTCTTCCTACGGGGCAAAGGTTCAGGCTGCATTGAGCCAGCATCAGGCCGAGAAGCTTTTGAACCTATGTATATTTACATCAGGTACGGATGGATCGGGCAGAATTCTTGTCATTTTGACTGTAACAGGCTAGAATGATTCAGAACAAACAAGCAAAAAGGCTTAATAATATTAGGGATTTAGGTAAACACTAGGAGTAATCACTTAATATTTAGTTAATAAAAATAACTGAATTAAGTCTGTGTGTCTTTAATATTCAGGTCCTTAGGTCTTATATAAGTCTGTGATCATAAATGAGCTATGATAAGCTTAAAGTAACTTCCAGTTAAAGCTAATATTTTATGACCTTGAAGTATTTCTTATGCCAAGAAGTATCATTGCCCAGAGAAAGACAAAATAGCATGAAAAATGAGACAGAATTATATGTTGTATTTTCTCCTTTGAATTCCTGCTTCATATTTCTTTGCAGTCATCCCAAACCAGAAGGTCTGGCTGCTGCCAAGAAGCTCTGTGAAAATCTCTTGCAAACAGTGAGTTACTGATATATAAATATGTATTATATATATTTATTTCTCTGTATACGTATTCATTCTTCTTTTGGTGCTGGGGATTGAAAATGGGTGCCCACACAAGGCCCCTATCATGCTTAGGTAAGTGTTCCTTAATATACATTTACCACTGAGCTATCCTCAGCCCCAACAGTCAGTTATATTTGTCTAATAATGATTCAGAAGACCCACTGCCATTTTGGAATGGATTGGACTTTTTTTCCCCACCTGTATTAGTTTCCTGGGACTGTGTTACCAAAGTATTATGGATAGCATTGACTAAAAGAACAGAAATTTATTCTGTCAGGGTTTAGCAACCCAGGAGTCTGAAACCCAGGTGCTGGTAGGATTGATTCCTTCTAGTTGTTTTTTTGGTGGTTGCACTGGCATTCTTTGGCTATGTTAGCATAACAAAAAGCAGAGTAGAGCTCTGACACTATGCCTATTGTCCCAGCTGCTCAGGAGCAGTAGTGAAGATTGGTTTACAGTCTGGGCAACCCCTGTGAGCTTGAAAAAAATAATGAAATAAAACCAAGTAGCAGTGTTTTTGGGATAGTTGCTCGATATTCATTCCACTTGCTTTATCTTTTTCAAATTAATTAGTTAATTAATTGTCATGGAGGGACACAGTATCTTTGTTTATTTTTATGTGGGGCTGAGGATCAAACCCAGTGCCTCACATGTGCAAGGCAAAAGCTCTACCTCTGAGCCACAACCCCAGCCCATCCACTTGTTTTATTCTATAAACAAATAACTGAAAGGTTAATCATAGTACTTTCTGTAGCACTTAATGGAAAATTGGGTTTCCTGTTGAATACATTGAACCTTGTGTTCTTTGGTATTGAAGGGCACCTTGTTGGGGAACTGTTTGTTTTTGTGCATATAACCTGATTTGTTAATACATGAAATTACAGTTCATAGGATGCTTGTAGTAAAGAAGAGATTGAAGAAAATTGGGAGCTTGAGGACATGTCAGCCAGTAGACATGATTAATTCTGACTAGTACTAGCAGTTTAGAAATTTCCTCGTTGTTGGGCTGGGGATGTGGCTCAAGCAGTAGCGCGCTTGCCTGGCATGCGTGCAGCCCGGGTTCGATCCTCAGCACCACATACAAACAAAGATGTTGTGTCTGCCGAAAAAAAAGAAAACTAAAAAAATAAATAAATATTAAAAATTCTCTCTCTCTCTCTCTCAAAAAAAAAAAAGAAATTTCCTCGTTGTTATGTTTTTTGGCTTTCTGGATGATTTTAATGCCACAGAATTAAATCTAGTTTGGGGGGATTTTGGATTATACATGCTTCTAATTCCAATGAGGTGGCTTAATAGTTTGTAGATCTGCCTTATTCAAATTATTGATTTGTTTTTCCTTCTCTAGGTTCATGCTGAGTACTCTAGATTTGTGAATCAAATTAATACTGCTGTACCTTTACCAGGTGTGTATATCTTGAAGTGTTTAAGAACTATTTTGTTAATGATATTTTTGTGTGTGATACTTGAGGCTAGAGTAACTGTGCCAGAGCACTAATAATGTTCCTTCAACTTAGGGTAATTTGGAAAGCCAATCAAGCCTCAGTATTTTTTTTCCCTAGATATTAAGTTTATATTCAGCTAAAATGTCTCATTCTGCTGCAGCTGATTAAACACTTTTTTTCTTCCCCCCTCAGGCTATACACAACCCTCTGCTATAAGTAGTGTCCCTCCTCAACCACCATATTATCCATCCAATGGCTATCAGTCTGGTTACCCTGTTGTTCCCCCTCCTCAGCAGCCAGTTCAACCTCCTTATGGAGTACCAAGCATAGTGCCACCAGCTGTTTCATTGGCACCTGGAGTCTTGCCAGCATTACCCACTGGAGTCCCACCTGTGCCAACACAATACCCGATAACACAAGTGCAACCTCCAGCTAGCACTGGACAGGTAGGATGCCAGGGAATGCATTATGCTGTCATTTGATTTAGGAGGGGGAAAAAAAACTGGGGAAATGGTTGTCTTCTAGAAATAAATCCATGTAATGTGAGATTTTTTTTCCTTTTGTCTTCTGTGTTCCTACTATTAACCTACCTGAATACTTTATCACAGTGTGTACATTTTTGTTTCTCATCCTAGAGTTAATTTAATTTCATAAGTCTTGTCACCAAATAGTAGTTTAAAGTGGGAATGGCCGGCCAAATTTTTGTAAAGAGCCTTATGTAAATATTTTAGGCTTTTTGGGTCAGGTAGTCTGTGTCTCAGCTGCTCTCTATTCTGTTATTACAGCACCAAAGTAGCCATGGACACTGTCTGAATGAACAGTGGGTATACTTATATTAAAGCTTAATTTACAAAAATGACTGACAAGCCAGAATCATAGTTTGCCTGCCCATAATTTTGTGGTAGAACTGAGTTCTCGGAGAAGGAAGCTGGCTACAGCCCTCCTTTGAAGGGTCAGAACTGATTTAGCAGCTCTAATCTTTTTCTGACAAATGTTCCTAGCCTAAAAGATATATGAACTTTCCAGGATTATAAATTTTGCTAGGTCTTTTATGTAAGAAAGTGAAATTTTAACAAAAGAATAGATTTGTCAAGCTCTTCCGTGTGGGTGATGTAGAACAGTTGGAGATGGGAGAGACTAATGGGAGCATGGTAATGGATTTATGGCAGGTCCTCCTCTGTGGGCCTCTCATAGTGTACCCATGCCAGAGTAAACTGCAGCCTTGAACCATTGCCCGGCTTCCTTGTCCGTGGGCTGTGAGCACTGAAGAAGGTTGCACAGTTTGTAACAAAAGCATGTAAACTAAATTCTGTTTTCAGGCTGTAGTCAAAAATTGTACTGTTGTTTTTTTCTTTCTGATACTGAGGAATGAACCCAGGAACACTACCACTGAGCTACATCCCCAGCCTTTTGTTTTTATTTTGAGACAAGTTCTCCCATAGTTGCCCAGGCTGGCCTCAAACTTGGATACTTTAGGTTTACTCTACAGTGCCAGGTTCCTTTTTATATTCAGAAAGATCTGTGGTTCTGGGACTGGGGTAGCTCAGTGGTGGAGTGCTTGCCTAGCATGCGTGAGGCACTGCGTTCAAGTCTCAGCACTGCATAAAAATAAATAAAAAATTATGTCCATCTACAACGAAAATAAATAAATATGAGATTTGTAGTTCCTTGAGTTTGAGTTGAAACCCTTTTATAATTGTGAGGCAACATGGCACAGTAGTTAAGAGCTGGAGGTTTAGAGTTAGGTTGCCAGGATACATCATGCTTTCCCCTTTTAAGCTGTTTTATCTTGGGATATAACTTGAACTATCAAGAAAATGGTCATAAGGATAAAATCTCCATGAGTGGTAATGATTAACTAAGATGTTCCAAACAGTCTATAAATGTTAGCTGCTTGTTATTGATTGTGTGAATTTTCCTTTTAGAAATGCTCTTTATCTCTAATGTATACYGTGTTTTGATCACTCTTTATTCTTTTTTTGGAATAACTACTTAAAACATTAGTCAAGGGGCTGGGGTTGTGGCTCAGTGGTAGAGCATTCGCCTAGCATGTGCAAGGCCCTGGGTTCGATCCTCAGCACCACATAAAAATAAATAAATTAAAAAAAGTATGGCATCCAACTACAACTAAAAAAATAAATATTAAAAAAAATAGTCAAACTTGCTCCTATTTTTTTTTTAAGTTTTAGGTGGATGCAATACCTTTATTTAGTGGGTTTTTTTTTTTTTTTTTTTTTTTAATGCTGTGCTGGGACTTGAACATGTGCTAGGCAAGCGGTCTACCACAGAGCCCCAGCCTTCTTTTTTGCTTTTTTTAAAGCAGAGATTGAACACAGGGTCAGTTAACCACTGAGCCACAGCCACAGTCCTTTTTTGTATTTCATTTATAGATGAGTCTCATGGAGTTGCTTAGGGCGTCACTAAATTGCTGAGACTGGCTTTGAACTCATAATCTTCCTGCCTCAGCCTTCCTGAGCTGCTGGGATTACAGGCATGTATCATCATGCCAGGTTTAGTACCAGGGATTGAACCCAGGGTCATTTAACCACTGAGCCACATCCCCAGCCCTTTTTATATTTTATTTAGAGACAGGATTTTGCCAAGTTGCTTAGGGCCTTGCTAAGTTGTACTGGCTAGCTTTGAACTCCTCAGCTTTCGGAGCTGCTAGGGTTATAGGCATGTGCTACTGAACGCAGCTTAAACTTGTTCTTGTTATAGCAACTTAATAATAACCATGGTAGTACTAAATGAAGTTGTCTCTGCCACACGCATTAGCTGCATGTATGATTCAGATTGATGAAAGGGCTTTAAATAAGAGAAAGTTCCCGCTTCATGACTTCAGAAGTAAGTGGCTAAAGTTGCTATTGTTTTTTAATGGTTATGTTTATTCCTAATACCTCAGAGATACACAATGAAAATTCAAAGAACTGTATATAGATTGTTAATTTCATGTCCCTAGGATGATGGTGGGAGGCTGGGTGATACTGTTAAATTATATAGGAAGCAGATAAAGCTGCATGTGATACATGAAGTATATTCTAATAAGTATTTACTTATTCATTAGTTGAGCAGTGTTACATTGTTTTTCCTCCTTGGTTTGTTTTGGTCCCAGAGTCCGATGAGTGGTCCTTTTATTCCTGCTGCTCCTGTCAAAACTGCCTTGCCTGCTGGCCCCCAGCCCCAGCCCCMGCCCCAGCCCCCMCTCCCAACTCAACCCCAGGCACAGAAGAGACGATTCACAGAGGAGCTACCAGATGAACGGGAATCTGGACTTCTTGGATATCAGGTTAAATAAAATACCTTGTTTTCCTTTCCTCATCTTATTCTCCTACTATATTCTCCCTTTAAAGAAAGAAATAAATTTACATCTATATTAACTGTCCTTCTAGTATCGGGATTTATGCTTTCTGGAATCCATTTAGTTTAGGATTTTATTCTTGAGGAATTAATTTAAGCAAGTGTGATTTCCTTTGGGTGGGTTTTGCCTTTGGGTTCATTGTGATAAGAAAATACACAACTCTTGGGCTGGGGTGGTGGCTCAGTGGCAGTATGCTCGCCTGGGATGCATGAGGCACTGGGTTCGATCCTCAGCACCACATAAAATAAGATATTGTGTAAACCTAAAACTAAAAAATAAATATTTTTAAAAAAGAAAAGAAAATACACAACTCTCCCTCCACCTGGAGAGAAGTTTACCATGAATAACTTCTAGAAAGAGTTGTATAGAACTCTGTTTTCTCTTACTCATACAAGACTCTTGAAAGCCTGTGATAGTTCTTACTTTGCAGCATATCTCACCAAAAGCTATCCATATACCAGTATGTCTAAACCTTGGCTTTCAATTTGTTTTTTGTTTTTTTTTAACCCCTTTAAATTAAGGGGGGGGTGTCCCATACTCCCCTACACACACCTGTTGGAAATGGAGTGATTTATACACATAATTACAAACATAATCATTCATAAAGTTAAAGATTAAGGGTTGGGGCTGAAGCTCAGTGGCAAAACATTTGCCTAGTGTGTGTGAGACTCTGGGTTTGATCTGTAGCACCACAGAAAGAAATAATTTTTTAAAAAAGTACATGGTTTTGGTACAGTTTTAACAGAAGCATCTATACATCTTGCCAGAATCCTTCAATCATTGTTAGTTTTTAATTGTAGTTGGACAAATACCTTTATTTTTTTATTTATTTTTATGTGGTGCTAAAGGATTAAACCCAAGGCTTTGAATGTGCTAGGTAAGTGCTCTACTGCTGAGCCACAAACCCAGCTCCCCTTCAGTCATTCTTTATAAGACAGCAAATTTTTTACAGTTTTGTAGAAACCAGTTAAATTATGGGTGGTTGGTTCAAAACGAAGCATGAATTGTAGTATCTTTAAATCCTAGAAATCCCTACTTGACTACAGTTATCTTCCAAATCCGGAGTATATAGTACAGTTTAATTTATTCCAATTTATCAGAAAGATGAGGCACTTGACAGTTACATTAAGGAGCTAAAGTCATTACAGCAGTTGTAGGTTTGCTAATGCCACTGTATTTTTCTGCTCATAGCATGGACCCATTCATATGACTAATTTAGGTACAGGCTTCTCCAGTCAGAATGAAATTGAAGGCGCAGGATCGAAGCCAGCAAGTTCCTCAGGCAAAGAGCGAGAGAGGGACAGGTAAGTTAGTTTGATCAATTATACAAATACATTTAGTTGTCATTCTTATGCACTATTTTGTATAAGTAATGGTTATTGCTATGAGCTGCAGTGTACTAAAGCTTGTACTAAAGCTCACATGAATCAAACTCCTCTTTGTTGTGATTGATGCAGTAATGGAAAATATTGCGATATATCTTTTACTGTTTAGAAGCAGATAAGTTAAAAATTGAATTCAAACGGATTTTCATTTTTTTTAACAGGCAGTTGATGCCTCCACCAGCCTTTCCAGTGACTGGAATAAAAACTGAGTCTGATGAAAGGAATGGGTCTGGGACCTTAACAGGGAGCCATGGTGAGTAAGGTGGAGCTGGGGGAACAGGGGACTAAGTAGGACTGGACTCAAGCTATAAGTTTTCCTAACCTGATATTCATTCAGGTGTTTAATCCACCCTCTATAATCTACTGTCTAATGAGAATACTTTTTTTTTTTTTTTAATAAGGACAGCGTATAGTTACAGCCTTTTATTTTCAACCGACGTGTGTCTAGAAAAGAATCAGTCAACTTATTTTATATGTAGCATCAGTGACATTAAAACCCTAGGAAATACTAATAATTGGTAGGTCATTTCAAAATTCTATTGCTAATGTCGTCTGAATACCTGGAGGTGATCTCATACAGATTTAATAGATTTTATTTTCCTTTAAAAGATCAGTTTCCTTTGTATTGGGAACTGAAGCACATCTCCCTGGCAGCCTGTGGCTGCCACAACATTCCCAAACTCTAAATCCATAGTGGTGCATGGGGTCATTTTGGTTCTTTGTCTGTAGTCATAATAAAAATGAACAGAAGAAAATACATATTTTTCTTTTCTTAACTTCCTTTCTTTTAACTCTTTAAAAGGTGAATATCAGCCCCCAAAGACTCATTTGCTAACTTTCCTTTTTTTCTTTTTTCTTTTTTTTTTTTTTTTTTGTGTGTTTCTTTTTCTTTCTCTGTTTTCTTACATGGTT